CCCCCGGCCTACCCGACGTCCAACCAGATGCGGCGAGTTTCCTCGTCGGCGTCCAGGCCCGAAGCGGCGTCGCCGGCAAAGTAGGACACGTAGAGCCTGTCCGGCGCGATCCCGTAACGCTCCGTCAGCAGCGTCCACGCCATGGCGCACGCCTCTTCCTGCAATTATTTTGGCGGGGGGAGACGGTCGGTCCGCCGTCAACGTTGAGCAAACGGTTTGCGGAGAATTCGATTCAAAGCGCAGAACACGGAAGAACGTGTCGATTTCGATCGATCGATTGAAGAAATTGCTGCTGGGGGGGGCGGGCCCGCGTTTCTTCGCCGCCGAGCGACGCCTCTGCCATGTCACCCATTTTGGGGATTTTTTTTTCCATGATCTCAAGCGCATGCTACGCTCCCTCGATTTTGGATTTTTTTGTTTGTTATTGTCTAGAATTTTTTTTCCTCCGGAACGCCAACGATGGGTGACAGAGGGCTAACCCCCCGCCCCCCCCCATTCCACCAGGTCTGTACGAGTGGCACCTTAAAGTAGTCGCCGAAGGACCAGTTGCCCATCATCTCGAAGAAGGTGTGGTGGTACACGTCCTTGCCCACGTCGTCCAGGTCGTTGTGCTTGCCGCCCGCCCGCACGCACTTCTGACTGTTGACCACCCGGCGATATGACGCCATGGCGCTGCGAGGGTCCGCCGTGCCCAACAAGATGGGCTTGAACTGGAACAGCAACCAAAAAAAAAAAAAAAAAAACGACGGAAGTGTAAGCTTATATTCAATGATCCATTATTTTCAGTTTATATTGGAGCATGATATTCTTTTATGTTATCTAAATTGTATTCTGTTTCAACATTGTTGAAACATTCTTATGTTGGTTAAGCAGGAAGTGTTTTCGTAACTGACGCGTTGGCCAGAAGCGTTGTTTGAACGCTCTTATTTTGAAAGGGCTGGGCTTCGACGGAGTTCGCCCCGTCCCGCGCACCGACCTGGTTCATTCCGGCGTTGACAAAGAGCAAGCTGGGATCCCCCCTGGGCCGGACCGGGGACGACGGCACCGGCAGGTGTCCGTGCTCCCGCTCGAAGAAGTCCAGGAAAGTCTTGCGGACGCGCGCGGCGCTCACTTCCGGGGGACACGCGCTGCCTAGGCGAACCCAGCCGACCGGCCGAACCGGCGTTCCGTTCGGCCCGCGAGCGGAGCCGAGGCTCCGGCGAAGCAGCTTGAGCATCGGGGGGGGGTAGGGGGAGGGGGTCGAGGCGGGAGAAGAACAAGCGAGGTCAGAAGTTCATCACCGAATGGGACCGGACCGGGTAGGAAGGACGACTTCGCTAGCTCCCCTCCGGCGGCGCCGCGTCGCTCTTACTCGCTGCTCTTCGACGGGGCGGGAGCAAAACGCCCATAGCGTCTCATCGCCACCTGCTGGTCGGAGGCGTACTACAGCGCCTCTGTCGACTCGGCACGTTTGCCGGCCGGCCGACCGTTTGAGCTTCGACATTGCGCCCCCCCACCTCCAAAAAAAAATAAAAAATAAAAAAACAACAACAAATCATCTTTCATCTCGTTTCAAAACACATGAAAAGGTTTGATGAAACGAGAAGATTTCTGCTTGTGACAAAACTTTATTGAGCCCGGAACCAACCAAACAAACAAACAAACAAACAAAACCCAACACCGCGTTGCAGTCACAAAAACATCCCTCCACCAAAAAAGGGCCACTCGCCGACGACCCCCTCCCTCTGACCGGCTGACGACAAACTCAAAAGCCGCCGGTGACCACCACAACCAAGCCGAACCGGAAAAACCAAACGCGCGGTATTAGCATCAGGCGCTAGGTGGGATAAAGTGCGCGGGCGGAGCCGCGACGTAGCCCACCACGTGGGCGGCGTTGGGGGCGGGGCAGTAGACCCGCGAGGCGTGCCCTCCCCAGTGCGCCGAGGCCGGCGCGCAGGCGTGGTGGGTGTGGTAAGGGTGATGGGCGGAGTGACCCGGAGGAGGGGGCGGGGCGGGTGACAGGTAGGTGGTCGGGGGCGGAGCTTCATACGGCAGGTGCAGCACGGACGGGAGGGCCACCTGCTCCGGGTACAACGCGGCGCCCGGGGGCGCGCCGAGGGAGGAGCCTTCCAGTGGATGGGCGGGGCCTACGACACAACACGAGCATCTGAAGCGCGCGCGCTCCTTTCCGAAGACGTCGACTTTGAAGGCGACTCACCGCCACCGTGCGTGTCTGTCTGAGCCTCGACGCTCCTGTTGGCTTCCGGGTAACACGGCGGCGGCGGCGGCGGCTGGTGAGCTCCGCGCCCC